TTGTGCATCAGGCTCTCTCAAAAAAATTCTTAAGCTAGAGAACTGATTCAACTTCATGATGTACAGTGAGTCATTAGCAAGACTGCCTTCAGCCTTGAAAGTATTTATCAGTATGATAACTCTTTTTTACACTTTTATTCCATTGGAATCACCTAGAAAGCTTTCCCTCAAATACAACATCAAAAAACAGATCACAAATGTCTCCTCTTCAAAAGGAATCCTAAACTTTTCTAATGTTGGTCAATTTTGAATTTGGCTGCCATTGTGACATGTCACAAGGCGAAGATATAAAATTATTTTTTGCCAGTCATGAGTGAGAACAAACCAATTTTTATGCCTAAATGAAAAGTTTCACTTTTAACAATGCATATTTGTTCTTTGCTTTGGTAAACTTTTGCTCCAAGCAAGTTACAAGGAGGTGAACTTTGCAGAGGAGATTGTTTTGGTCTTCTGCAGTCAGGTTTGCAAGATGTAAATATTTCCCTTGAGTCATGAAGTAGTGCTTTGGGATTTTTTTTTAGCCCTCGATAAACTTGTCAGAATCCCAGTACATTGCCAGCTGAGGAAGTTCATGGATTTTAATGAGAATGTTCAGCCCGAGATATGCTGAAATTTCCACTCGGGTTGTTGTGAACATTTGATCCCCTTTCGGATGCGCATATGCATCAGTGTAAGGGATGATTTTGTCAATATAAGCATCATCAATGAATACTTTGAAGAAATCTTTGGCAGTTGCATTTTCTCCGAGATCTCTGGTCAGGACATGAAATGGACAATTGCTCAACATTACTTTGTTGCAATGTGCTAGACCATTGAAGAGCATTTGGTTGGCTCTCTTCAGCAGGAAATTTTTCATTGTTACTTTTCTTGCTTTCTTCTTCTTCTTCCTCACAAGTGTATGGCTCAACATTCGAATGGCTTCCCCTTTCTTGTGACTCTAGGTTGAAAAAGTCTTCCATCTTGTCATCCACATCGCAAGGCAAGTTTTGTTCTTGCTGTGCTTGACATGCTTGTCACATTTTTTCAATTTCTTTGTTGGTAAAGCCATTCACTGCTTTCCAATACCCAGGGGAGTTTTGTTTCTAAACTACTTCTCATCATCTGTTTTGCATTCTTCACTTAGCCACTTCCACCAATTTTAGCCACCGGTTGTTTCTTTGCTTGATTTGAAGGGTGCCCTCAAACTTTTTTTGCATAAGGGCAGTCTTCACTATGACTTTTCAAAAAGAAGGTGGTTTTGAGGTTGAAATAACTTTTTCTTGATCTTAATTTTTTTTCAGACCTTACTAAAATATGTTCAACATATTAAAAAAGTTAACGAGAACAAGAAGAATTAAGATAATAAATGTTAACAAAGATTAACTTAAATACTACAGCCAAGATGAAAAAAATAGGCATCCAGAACATACATGAGTGGGCTAGATATAATAAAAATACTTATAGCAAGATAGAATGAGATAGTTATATAAAGGATGTTTTGTTGTACTTTGGGTTTTGGCAAAAAAAAAAAAAAAAACCAAAACATGAAGGGAACATTGTGCTGATAAACATTTCAAAGAACAATGAGGATTTGCTGAAAAAATACTGAAATTTGCAGATCATGGTAGCTTCAGTTTAAAAATGGCAAGGTTTGGGGGTATTTCTAGTGGAACTTTTTCTCTCTAGTCTCCTATGTATTATAATTATATAGAGTATAAAGCCAACAAATCATAGTGTTCTGGTTCTTTGTTGGAATTGTTACCAGGTAAATAAATGAATCTGGATAACTGCACTGTATTGGAGGAGGAGATGTGTATACTGTAAAACACAGCATAGATTCTAAAGAATTCTCCCACACAGGCACTCTTAGGCCTTGTCACGCATTTCTTCCCCACAGACTTACACAATTGGTCTCACTTTGTTTTATTGTAACAACTTTTAATAGCTCAGTAAGTGAAGTATGGTGTTTAAAGTGAACAAAAATTCATTTTATGGGCACCCAGGAGCAGAATAAAGACTGACTCATTTTCAGGGGAAGTGTTGTCTTACACATGAAGTAGACTTCATAAATTATTTGCTCTTAGCCTCAAATTAACAGAAAAAAGAACAAATACTCAACAATATTAGCGCCACCATTCTGTTAGCTTGTCTACTGTGACAACTGTTGTAACCGTGCAATTCATTGTATAGCGCTACATTAGGCAGTAAACTTCATCATTTTTTTATCTTCAGTCAGTTTATGGAGTTGGTGTTGTCTCTTATGACACTATCACATTTGTATTTCATTTTATCATTTTGTACTATGGGTTGCTTATTTTCTTTCTTTGTTGGTACCCTGACCTTTAAATCCACGGTCTCATAAATATCTTTGGCAAGGGTTTCATTAACAGTGCATAGTTTAGTGGCAAATTGTTCACTGAATTAAAATTCCAGTGAAGGTGTAATTTTTGCTTGTTTGAGATAGCATATTCTTCTGTTGTTATGTGGAATGGTTTGGATGCTGTGGGCTTGACTCCCTGAATTTTTAATGGTGACTTGTTTTTAAAGGCTTGAGTCAAGTTCACTTGTTTTCTAGTAGCAAATAGCACATACTATTTCATTGTCACTTCATTGAATGTGCCAATCAAAGAAGCTGACTCTTGGGTTTTCTTTGAATGGGTGACCCTAGTCAATTGATGGACATTACCCTCTAGAGAATCTGAAAAATAATCTTTCAGGTAGTGAACCCTATTATTAAAAGTAAAATAGTTAAAAAAAATACTGAGGGCAATGTCCTTCATGACATATTTCAATTGTAAAAACTTTAAAATAAAAAATAACTGACAGATTTTTCTGTCCTTTGGGTTTGATGCTTTTGGTGGTTGGAGATTATCTGATTCTTTTTTCTTTGTTTGTGCCAGGAAATTAAGGCATGGTACAAAAACTACTGGACTGTAGTTGAGTTTTTGCTGTCTCATTAACAATACAGTCAAGTCAAAATACTTTTGAGTGGTAGGCAAGCTGGCTATAGTAATAGGCAGCAGAGGCCCTTTGAAAATATTGGCCTCAAATGTTTGCATCTGGTGTATTTAGGGTAAACTGAGCCACTATTAGATAGTGTTAACATAACAGTAATGAAGAGTCACACAAGACCTTCAATTTTCAAATTGAAGTTATATTCTGCCAGATGCGTTATTGGAAAACATGTAATTGACTGG